TTTTTTTCCCAAGTGCAGAAGTTGACACATTTTCATTATAATCCCAAAGGATAAGACTCACAGGGAACATGAAGTGAAAAAAAAAAAAAAAAAAAAAAAACAGGTGTCTGAATAGCTGGCAAAGAACTATTTCATGAAAATAAAAAAAGCTTTCCAAGCAAAATAATACAAATTAAAGAATCCCTGCTTTGGATGGATGATCCAATAGAAGTGAAGCATTGCTGTGCCACTCACTGGAAAAGGAAAATTGGCATAACAACTGCTACCTCTGGTTTCTGTCTGTTTCCCCAAATGAACTGGAAAAGCAAGAAAGAAAGCCTCAATTTTTAAAAAATATATATTTTATTGATTTTTTACAGAGAGGAAGAGATAGGAATAGAGAGTTAGAAACATCGATGAGAGAGATGTTCTCAGCTGCCTCTTGCACACCCCCTACTGGGGATGTGCCCGCAACCAAGGTACATGCCCTTGACCGGAATCGAACCTGGGACCTTTCAGCCCAAAGGCCAACACTCTATCCACTGAGCCAAACCGGTTTCGGCAAAAGCCTCAATTTTTAAAAAGTTGAAGTTTTCTCATACCCATCATATATATTTGCAATTCTTTTCTTTATTGTCCATTTATATATTATTATGCAACCAGAACCCAGAATCCTAACTCTGGGTTGAAGGTCCTGCTTGGTAAGTGGCATAAGGAGGATTTGCTGTGTCTTTATCACTCCTGTGGCCATACAAACGCAGTGTTTTCTAGCAAAATCAGACTCGGGAATCACTCCATGCCTTTTCCTGATAAAACACAAAGAGGTGCTGGCTTAAGGTCACTTAAGGTCACAAAGGTACAAATGCCAGGGCCGGAGCTGGCCATTGTCTCAGCCCACTTCATTACACAGCTCTCCATCAAGCCAGTTACCTGGTTCAAATCTCAGCTCTCCCACTTACTAGCAGTGTGACCTTGGACCAGTCATTCAACTTTGCTGCACTTCATCTATAAAATGGGATGTTTACAGCTCACAGGGCACTGCTCACAGGGCACTGCGAGAATTGGTGAGTCACATCTGTAAAGCCCAGGGCAAGTGCTTGAGAAAAGTTAGCAATCACCACCACCATCATCATCGTCGTCTCTATTGCTTAGCTTTCCATATGGAATCCATTGAACAGTAGTGATTTACTATGTTTAAATGCATTAGAGCAGCAATTTTCAACCAGCGTGCCAAATGGAGTTTTTAAAACATACAAGTCTGACTATTGAGCCAGGGACACTGACCTTTTTTCCTTTAGATTGTCAAATAAAAAAGTGACAACAGCCAACACAACAATATCTATCCAGTGTAAGTGGATCAAAATTATACCTATTTTTTGTCCATTTGGCAAATATATATATATATACATATATATACATATATATATGTGTGTGTGTGTGTGTGTGTGTGTGTGTGCGCGCACGCGCGCGCTGCAGCAGTTTAGTAATTATATGTGCTATGAGATGAAAATGGTTGGAAATTGCTGTGTTAGAGTACTTGGAATAGACATATTTTTAATGCTGTATGATTTTGGGGATAGTATCAAGCCTTGAGATCTTGAATTAGCCACTCAGTCAAAATGAGCTTCAATTTCTCCATGGGACACCGGAGCAGGATGATACTTGCTCCACCTACCTCACACAGTTAAGTGATGAGCAAAGTTAAAAAGAAAGAAAAGAGGTGACATGGATGGAGGTACCACACAGGTGTTCGGTGATTTAGAACAATGAATGCAATCCTCCCCAAAAACCTTTGGTGGACACCCCATCAAGACAGGATAGGCACCCACTTAAATTTTGGTTTGGATGTCAAGAATGGAAGTGCCACACAAACACCAGCAGGGTATGGAAAGGTTCCTCGCTCACATATGAGGTTTTCTGGGGAGAGCGGGCAGCTCCCAGAAAGGAGAGAGCAGAGAATGAGGTGTGTGGGGAGGCGGGGAGTGCAGAAAGGGGGCAGTACAGCCTGGCCTGGGGCTTATGTAGCATGAACCTTTCACCAGCAACGAAGGAAAGAGTTCCTAGGCTTTGTGTCAGCTTGCCTGGATGCGGGGCAGAAGGAAAAGAGGGAGGGCGAGGCTTAAACACTGTCACAGTCAAGCATAAAAAAAAATAATAAAATAAAATAAAACAGGATCAGACTCACGCATTATTACAAACTCTGGGAGATAGATAGATCCCATCTTGGAGATGAGGAAACAGGACTCAGTCTGTGTGGATCACCTGTCACAGCATGTTTAACTTTAGCCCTTCAACTTCAAATCTAAGCATCCTTCCTTCGCCCCAGTCCCAAGAGCCTGTGAATTCCTGTCAACCAGGTGACAGGAGAAGCACTGCCTGGCCCCACCTGCTTGCCCAGCATCAGTCAGCCAACCATAGAACAGCTGTAAACATCTGTGATCCATTTTAAGCCCAATAAGTGGTTTATGATCACCTTAACTTTCTCCACAGAAGAAACAAAGAGAGAAAGGAGGGTGGGAGGAAAGAAGTGGGGAAGGGAAGGGAAGAGGGGAAGAGAGGAGGGAAAAGAGGAAGAAAGGAAGGAAGGAAGGAAGAAAGGAAGGAAGGAAGGAAGGAAGGAAGGAAGGAAGGAAGGAAGGAAGGAAGGAAGGAAGGAGGAAGGGAGGGAAGGAGGGAGAAAGATTTCAATTCGAATGTTTCCATTGCTAACACTATTGTCCTTGAAGCTGGGGGAAAGGTGACACTGTTTAAAGGATTCTCTTCACATTCAGGTAAAATTCCATTTCCAGTTTATCCAGTGAACATTAGGTTCTATTGCAGCGGTCACACTCTTAGCGATGGCTAGCATCCATTTCTCTTATCTGTAATTGAGTTCCTATAGGATTTTTCCCTCTGCTTAATGTCTTTATTGAAATTGCCCCTCATTCCCCCCATAAAAATTCCAAGTCTCGAGCATTACTACAAAATCATGAAAGATTAAATTAAAATGAGCAGGAATCAATTTTTCATGGGTTATAAGGCTCTGAATCACCTCAGTTGGAGTTCTTCAGGGTAACCAAGCCGGATCAGGTTCCAAAATTGCTAAGCTTTCCTGTTAGAATTACAGTTACTTCAGCTCTCCCTTCAACTCAGAACACCCCGTTCTGCTTCTCCTCAGGTGGGCAGCATTCACCAGCTAAGATGGCCTCACATGGGAGCTATACAGGCAACCGGATCTGTTTTGAACCTGCTGGTTCTGCAATATTTATGTATCAGTTCATGACTCTTTTCTGAATGAATTGCACTGCAAATCAAACCACTACTTAGGACAGAAAATACTTATGCTTCTCTGTTGGCCATATTTAGGAAGCACTAAAGAGCTCCTTGCCTTTCTTGAAGATTTCTTAGGTCTATTTTTAGAGCCACAGGAACAAATCTCAGTTAAGTGAAATTACCAATGGCCAGTCTTTCTTCCCACTTACTAGAGTTGCTGTGTACTCTAACCTTCCCCCTGTCTATCCTACTATATTCTGAATCCTCTTTTTAAGGATAGAATTCAGACATGAAAAAATAACGTTTGAGAGAAGCATTCAGGCAACTTATTTCTTCAGGAAACGTAATATAAGTAATTGATCAACCTGGGAAATAGGTAAGGAAGATTTTGTCCTATGATTAGAATGGCTTCAACAGGCATTTCCCCAAAGAGTCATCATATACCCACCCCCCCTTAAACCACTACCACCCATCTACTGCAGATGGTCATAGCACACCCTTTCATTATCATCATCTCCATCGTCAGCATCAGCATCCCTTTTGAGGGAATTATAGCTTATTGGAACAGTTAACAAAGAAGAGCACAATACTGGCTAGGGAAGGGGGGGAAGATAAATTCAGGTAGATAATTTGCTACTAACAAAAAAGAAATAGCAAACATTCTGGCTGTCAAGGTCAAGTCTTTCAATTCCATTGACCCCTCTATTTTAAAAAAGTAAAGCCTATCATGTCACATCTTATCATAGCAGATGTGGACTTTCTTCCCCGCAGAAATAGGAGTGCATTTGAGCATTCTCAAAGGAACTCTTAGAGCACTGGATCAAATTTATATGAAACAAACGCCTCCATTCCCAGATGTAAGAAAGGAAGCATTTGATTCCAAACACAGTCCATAATCACTTGGCTTAATCGAATCATTGTAGACAGATTCGTTATTAGCCCTGACCTAGAAGAGACTTGGGGATATTCTACACACAGTACTACCAACATTGAAAAATGTTGATGCTTATAGGTTAATTGGTTCCAACGCGCTTTAGCGTGCTTGTAATCCAGTCTTATCTATTATTTTCTGCCAAATTCTCTTGAAAGTCCAAATCCCCTGGCAGCAGCTGGCCATCCCTCTCCCAGCCCCCCTCTTCCCCGAAGCTTTCCAGTGCCCTGTTCCCGCCCCGGCTGCCTGCCGGCCCCTCCAGGAGCGTCCAGCCCGGAGGGCGGCACACCACGCGCAAAGTCCCCTCGAATGCCCCCGACGGCTCCCACACCCCGTCCTAAGCCCGGGGAGGGCTGGTCGCAGGCTGCGGGGAGGCGGATGCCCTCTGTGAGCGCCGGCTGCACGTCAGGACCTTCACGGGTGGAGGAGAAAGTGCTGACCACCGGGCGCGGGACCCGCCATCACCTGCCTCCCAAACCCCTCGCCTTAGACGCACGCGGGGGCCAGCAGGACAGAGAGCGGGGGTCACCTGGACCTTGGACTCTCCGCCGGGGACACTCGGGGCTGGGTCCTCTGAGTGGCCGCCGCCGGCACCCAGACACACTCCAGGGGAGAGGGGCTCAGCCCGGCCGGAGGGGCGCCCCCTTGATGACCCGTGGCCGTAGCGGGAGCACAGCCAGAGACCCCGTGGGCAGGGAAGTGGCATTTGCAAGGTCAACTAGGGGTCCGCGTCTATGCAGACCCAGAGGTCGATCCATCCCCTTCCCCAAGCGGGAAAAACTAGCGTCCGGCATGCTGGAGCCCGGCGCGGGGCCCCGCTCCCGCCGCGTCCGCTCACCTGGCAGTGGGTTCCGGAGACCCCGGCGGGACAGGTGCAGGTGTAGCCGCCCTCGCCGGCGGGAGCCGGGGACTGGGGGCCGGGCGCGGGGCGCGGGGTGCAGACGCCCCCGTTCCGGCAGGGCTGCGCGGCGCACGGCCCCGGCACGGGCAGGGGCACGGCGGGCACCGGGCTGGCCAGGCAGTGGCCGCGGGGCCCCGCGCCGAGCAGCAGGAGCAGCAGGAGCGGCAGGGCCGGCGCGGGCAGCAGCTGCGCTTGGGGCGCCAGGGCGCGGCGGGGCGGCATGGCCGGCCGAGTGGGCGCGGAGCGGAGCGGAGCCGGAGCCGGAGCGGAGCCGGGCGCGGTGGTGGTGGTGGCGGCGGCGGCGGCGGCGGCGGCGGGAGCGGTGGCGGCACCGAGGGCTGCTCGCGGGGCCTGGCGCCTCCTGCAGCTGCGGGAGCCCTGGTTCCCGGGCAACGACGGGCGGGGCTGGGGGCGGGGCAAGTGGGGGCGGGGCAAACGGAGGCGGGGCGCGGGGGAGGAAAGGGGCGTGGGGACCCTTCCTATGCTAGGAGTTGGGCCGGTGGAGCTTAAGGCCACCCAGGGCCCCTAGCCGTGAGGGCGCGGTCAGAGTCCGGGGATGGTGTGGAGGGGGAGAGGGGGAAGGTGTCCAAAAGAACCCCGAGCCTGCAACGGTGGTGGCGCTGGCCTGACCGAGACAGAAGGAAAGGGCTGAAGGGGTCACAATGCCGGCCGAGGGAAGGACTTTGCTGGCCTCCAGCTGCTGAGCGCCCCCAATGGGCCGGGCAGGGGCAGGGATGTCGCGCAGCGAAGGGAAGGGCGTCCCGGGCTCCGCCACCGCCACCCGCTGCCTCTTGGCGCAGAATCGAGGAGACCGCGGCAGGGACCAGCCTCCCCTCATCCCCCCCCCCACACACACACAGTTCTCCCCCGCAGACACCCCCTCGCAGACACCCCCACACTGCCAAACCCCAGAGCCCCGCCACGCGCTCTTCAGCTCCTCCACGGGGCTCTCTCGGCAGTGACCTTGTGTCCGCTCCGCCACCCTGAGGCCCTTGTCCTTGGTGCTGACCGCGGAGCCTCCTTTCTCGCGAGCTCGGCCTTGCTCGCCACTCAGCAATGCCTTGACTGTGGCTTGTGGACTCTGGAAAAGACCTCGGAATGGGTGTCAAATCCTGTCGTTGCACAGGGGGAGGGGGGAAACTGAGGCCCAGACGGGCTGGACTGGAACCCAGTGGGTCACTTGGCTCCCAGCCCGGAACTCTGTGAGTCTCCAAAAAGAGTTGCTCACAAGTGCAGGTTTGCAAAGGCCCTGCCAGGATTTGCTCCAGGGCTCTGTAGAGGAGACTCATTCACCTTGACCCACTTGGGCGGCGCGGCGGGTGGGGGAACTCTTCTAAAAGCCCGGGCTAGCCTGGTTCTTGCTTTGACAACTACGGAGGTCAAGCGCTGCTGAGTAAACGCAGCTCGATTTGTCTCTGCCACCCGACCTTTCCCAGCCTCTTCCAGGCATAGGCTCTCAGGTACAGACATGCTTTTTGAAGATGGCCATGTGAGAAGACCAAATGTCTCTTGGCTTGACAAATCTTTTAGGGCACCCAAAAATTGTTTTGTAAAACCTGGGCAAATGAGCAAGCAGAGATGCCGCATGACCCCCTGCATGCAAAATCTCCAGTGGAAACAGGAAACGCACTGTCCACCCTCTCCCAGCCCTCCTCAGACACAGGAACCAATATCAGGGGTTTGTGCTTTCGTTTGTGGCCATTGCATGAGGTCGCTGAACAAACACACACACACACACACACACACCGGTCTGCATGCATCAGGGAGAACTCATCTCTCCAAGTGGATCTAAACGTTTTTGCATTTTCCCTCACACCTGCTGCCTTTTATCCAGACCTCCTCTTTTTTCAAAAATCCTAATTTTGTGCCACGCCAGCACCCTCTGCTGGTACTAGCCTCATCATTCAGGTGTTCTTCCACTTTCTGTGCCCCTGAGTATGCATTCTTTCTTGGCACAAATTTCTCTTGCCTTAAATCCTGGAATAATGGACTAGTGCTCACTCCCTCACATCAACACATACCTCTAAAGCAAAGTGAAGTATAAGAAATGTGATCTCATTAAAATCACAATTAAGTTTTTATTTAGCAATCCCCTTATCTATGGATTTCATATCATTTCAAAATACGGAAGAACAGAGGTTTTCTTTTCTGAAGTCCCATTTCTGAATTTTGAAGATAACATTCAGCTTTTTTTTTTTTTTTTTTTAAGTTTCCTATCTTTAATCTTGAAAGGGCATATTATGGAAGAGACGATGCAAGACCATTTCATTGTTCTCCAAGCTTGGAAAGAAAGGCTACATCTCTTGCCCCTTACTTCTAGGTGGAGCCATGCAATCAGTTCTAGACAACAGAACATGGCATTGTGTGCCCTCACCCCAAACCCCCAAACACCCCACACTAAATACCAGGTGACCACTGTGATGGCTGCTGTGATCACTCCCAGAGAAGGGGGTCCTTCTGTGGGTCTGAAGGCTGATTCGGTACTTGGATGACAGACTCCCAAATACCCATCTAATGACTCCAACTAATATGTGACCTTGACTTCTTAACAGAAGTCATTAAAATAATATTGGCTCCATGTTTAAATAAAACCTAAAAATTCAGTTGTCCAGGTCTTTGGTTCATGCTGTTCCAAATTTATAGAACATCAAATCTGCACCCTAAACCATCTCACTTTTTTTTTTTAATAGAGACTCTACATTAATAAGGAGGCAATGTCCAAATAATATACAGATATATGTATATATATGTGTTTTGTATATGTGATATGTATCGTGTGTGGTGTTTCTTATGTGGCTATGTGTGTATGGTATGTATGGATAGTGTGTGTATTATATAGTATACGTGTGAATGAGTTTATGACATGAAGCACAGCGCCTTTGGGATTTGGCACTGAGTCTTGATTTCAGCAAAGAATGTGATAGAATTTCTCACAGTCACCTTCTGGGGAAAGTGGACTTGAAGCCCTTTAACAAATGTAGTCTGAACATGCTAGACAGGGGACCACTACTAGGTTAGATGAAGTTTTTAAGAAAATGCCAGAGTCTCAAATTTTGACAGCTAATACAATTCATAATGGAATCAAAATGTAACATCCTCTTAACCAGTAAACATGCTGAGATCTAGGCAGTTGGAAGCTCCAAACCCCATGTCCTCTGATTGGAATGTGTTCATCCAGAACACTGTTCCCACAGCCAGAGCTGTTCCAAGGACATCGCCTGGAGAAAGTGAGGTATTATTGAGACCAGCTAGACTGAATATTGAAGGAACCACGTTCAGGCCTTGATGCAAACTTTTAAGATTCTGGTGGGATGATGTGATGCAGCAATCTACTCATCTTGTCATCCAAGACAAGCCTTGTACATAGGTTTCAGATTTTATTACACCTCTTACCCACTCACCTGGAGCATCTGCCTCTTTCTTTGGTCTCTTCTTGCCCTCCATATATTGGGGCCAGTTTCAGATTTCACCAGAGAAGCTCCAGAATGCTCATTGCAAACCAGAACCTTGCTTTATAGAGCTCTTGGGAGAAGTAAGTGGGATGATAGTGGTGATAACTAGAGTACATACAATGTACCTGGCACTAATGTGAGAATATTTTACATATTATATCATCTAATGCTAATGCCAGAGAGAGCAACTATGACTTCTGCCCAATTAAAAAAAAAAGATAAAATTAAGGTGCAGAGAGGTTAAATTTAAAAAAAAAAAAAAAAACCTAGCCTGGCCAGTATGGCTCAGTGGTTGAGCATCGACCCATAAACCAGAAGGTCCTGGGTTCGATTCCCAGTCAGGGCACATGCCCAGGTTGCAGGCTCGATCCCCAGTAGGAGGCAGCCGATCCATGATTCTCTCTCCTCATTGATGTTCTCTCTCTCTCTCTCTCTCTCTCTCTCTCTCTCTCTCTCTCTCTCTCTCTCTCGTCTTCCTCTCTGAAATCAATAAAAATATTTTAAAAACCTAGTCACTCAGCTTCCAAGTAGAGTGGCCAGGTCTCAACCATAGAGGGGAGTCTGGCTAAAGAGCCTGTGCTTTGAACCTCAATTTTATCTACTCTATGCATTTTCTATAATGCAGAGTCTGATACTTAGTAGATACAGTAGGTAGGCAGGTAGGTAGGTAGATAGGTAGAGATAGATAGGTAGATACAAGTATAAATAATATACAGATATATGTATATATATGTGTTTTGTATATGTGATATGTATCATGTGTGTGGTGTTTCTTATGTGGCTATGTGTGTGTGGTGTGTATGGATAGTGTGTGTATTATATAGTATATGAGTGAATGAGTTTATGACATGAAGCACAGTGCCTTTGGGATTTGGCACTGAGAACAAGTACTGGGATTTTATTGTCGGGAGGCCCTGGAAGGTTTTAATTTCTTTGCTCGCTTGCTTTCTTTGTAAAGTGCTCTACTACTCCTGAGTTGCAGAATTACAGGATGTGAAAATGGGGTGGGACTTGGACGATCTTCCCTGAGGAAGGTGAGGCATTGAGGAAGTTCACCCCTCCTCCAGACTGGGTGTCCCAGAACCAGAGCAAGATGCAGACTTCCAAATTCCATAGTTTATGCTCTTTCCGCTCTTTACCGGGCCTTGTCTTGACTCCCGATATTCCTACATAAAAGGCAATAATATCAGAAGGCAATGTAAACATATCACCACTAAGTACATGGGAGTTTTAAGTGTCTTTGAAGAGTCTTCATAAAGAATAAATATGATTTGTATATGTTTTAGACACAAGCACCAGAACTATTATCTTATTCCTTTCATGAGTAGCATCCTTTTAAAATTAGTCATTTAAGTGCCCCAACACTATATCCCTGTTACTCTGAATTATCGTGCACAATTCCTAATTGCTGTGTTTAAGATATGTTCCCATTTATTTTCTTCCCACTAGACTTTCTATTTGAATCAAATCGCTATTCTAGCAGTTGTTTAAAACAGTTTTAGTTTGTTAGACATTATCAATCTGGTATTTGATCTAGGGCAGGTTTAATTGAGAAATTGTGAATATAGAGACAGCAAGGATGCACTGCATATCTTCCCAGTATAAATAGTTCATGAAGTGCAGAAATACCACAGATCAAAATCAGATCTTTTTATCAAGACTTCTGAGAATGTGTGATTGTGTTAAACTCAGTACTTGTTCTCAGTGCCAACTTCTTGAGGAATATATCACAATGGAATACAGGAATCCTCATCAGGGCCTTGAAAGAAGGAGGTTCTATCCAAAGCCTCTCCTTTGCTTCTGAATTCACTCTCAAGGGGACAAAGTTTTAGTTATTCCAGGACCTGCTTGTCCTAGAGGGCTACTGTGCAGCCTGGAATCTAGTTAACAGCGCTGTCCTCTATACTTAAAATTTACTAAGAGGGTAGATCTTATGTTAAGTTTTCTTTTCACACACAAAAATAATTTAAAAAGAGAGCAAGGAAAGAGCTTGTGGAAGTGATGCATATGTTTATGTACAGATTTTGGTGATGGCTTCAGGGATGCATCTCCAAACTTATCAAAGTTGTAGACATTAAAATGTATGTCAATCAGACCTCAATAAAATGGTTGGATAGATAGACATTTGACAGATTAATAGATAGTTGATAGATGGATGGATGGATGGATAGATAGATAGATAGATAGATAGATAGATAAAGAGACTGACCCCAACCGTCAGATTCAGGAAAGATCAGGTGAGCTAGGCCAGAGCATTCCTCTGGTGATGGAGATCAGTTCAGAGATGGTCATATGACCTCAGTCACATTCTCATTTTTATAAAGTGTATAAACCACTGATAGCTCAACAAAGCTAGCCGAGACACACACACACACACACACACACACACACACACACACACACGTATAAATATTTTTAAAAATTCACAAAATTATCCAGCAAATGATTAAACATTAATATATAATATTCCTGTGAGGTTTATTAAAAAAAAGTATGATTAAATGTCAGAAAATCTATTCAATTATGTTAAGAGATTTAGGAAGAAAAATTATATGATCTTTATAAATGCTGAAAAGGCATTTGATAAAATTCAATATGCATTCTTGATAAAATTCTCAATAAAATGAGAAAAGATAGTATTTCCTTATTATAATATAATATACTTATCTAAGCCCAAAAGTCAGCATCATACTTAGGGAACAATTACCAGAAGCAATTTCATTAGAACTGAAAATAACACAGTGATGAGCACCATTATCATTAATGTTATTCTTGAGGTATTGGTCTAAGCAAGTATTCAAAAGGAGATTTATCAATATAAAATTGGAAAGGAACTAAAGTTTATATATGCAGATAATATGATTCCATACCTAAAGAACCCAACTAGAATTATATTGCAAACAATAAGAGAATTCCATCTATCTGGGTATGAAATAAATACACAGAATCAAAAAACTTCATATCTATAAATAGCAAGCAGGTAATATATATGGACATAAGGAATTCTTCTTTATATTAGGAACAAAAAGAGAAAGCCTAGTAATAAATAATGTGAGAAGAAGTGAACTTATGGAGGATCCAAGATGGCTGCACAGGTAAACACCTAACCGCAGCTGCACACAACAATTTCAATAA